AGGGAATGTGCCACTGAATTTCCTTAAAAAGAAATAGGGCTGAATGAAATGGAACCTAACGATTTGATCCAAAAATCAATGGATTTAAGGATACATTGCAAACGGCAAGGTCTAACAGAAACTTCTTTATTCATCCAAATAATGGCATTAGCGGAGTCCACTTCGATAATCCATTTTACTTGATGAGCATAGAGAGAAGAGGCACTGGTCTCCTACGCTTCCTGACCAATAAAGTTATTTATGCATTCAATTTTTATTTGCAGATGAGAGCTTCCTGACAAATGGCTATTTAGACACAGTAATAGACTGGATTCCAGGAATGAAAGATACACGGTTAAGGGATCTTCCAAGTTTTCTTCGTACAACAGATCCAAATGATTTTTTCTTCGACTTCTGTATGGAATGTGCTGAGAGAGCTCCTTCAGCTTCCGCAGTTATTTTCCATACATTTGATGCTTTGGAGCAAGAAGTGCTGACTGCCCTTTACTCTATTTTTCCTCGAGTTTACACGATCGGTCCGCTTCAGTTGCTTCTCAATCAAATACAAGAAGATGATCTAAATTCTATTGAATGTAATCTATGGAAAGAAGAAGTTGAGTGTCTGCAATGGCTAGATTCCAAGACACCTAACTCAGTAATTTACGTGAATTTTGGTAGCATAGCAGTCGCCACAAAGCAGCAGCTCATTGAATTTGGAATGGGACTTGCTAAAAGTGGTCACTCATTTTTATGGGTAATAAGACCTGACATGATTGCTGGTGACTCTGCCATATTGCCACCAGAATTCACCGAAGAAACAAAGGAGAGGGGCTTTATTTCTAGTTGGTGTCCGCAAGAGAAGGTTCTAAACCACCCATCAATTGGAGGTTTTCTGACACATTGTGGATGGGGTTCCACAATTGAGAGCATTTCTTCTGGGGTGCCTATGCTTTGTTGGCCTTTCTTTGGTGATCAACAAACAAACTGTAGGTACACATGCAACGAGTGGGAAATTGGAATGGAAATTGATAGCAATGTGAAGAGAGAAAACGTGGAAAAACTTGTGAGAGAGTTGATGGAAGGAGAGAGAGGTAAGAAAATGAAGAACAAAGCCATGGAGTGGAAAAAAATAGCTCATGAGGCCTCTAGTCCAAGTGGCTCATCATCCATGAACTTCGACAACTTAGTGAATGATTTGCTTTTGTCATGAAACAGTACTCTGTAATTTAGGACAAAAAATAATTAATGATCAAATGCAAATACTATATCTCTTGTATTCTGTGATGATAAATTTATAATATCATTTGCCCTATGCCTTTTCAATGGAATTATGTTCTTTATGGCACGTGGATTGCTTGGGCAACACGTAGTAAGATTTTTTTTTTTTTTAATAAAATCTACCATTATATTAATGAAGCTAGAAGGAGCCAGCAAAAATGGATTACAACCATGATAAAAAGTTAGTAGAATTATGGAGACTCGATTTAGCCAAATAGTGAGCAACAAAGTTCTTTTTCCTATGTTTATAGGCGAAAACATTAATTTTAAACACAAAATTAGATTAAAAAGGCTGTTAAAATGATTCTGAACCTTCTAAAATCTTTTTTTAAAAAAAAAAATCTACCAAATAACTACAACAGTGGATTCAAACTCCATAATTCAAAAAGGCCAAGCAGCAGTAATTTTTAAATAATATATATGTCTCATGTATTCAGTGATTATATCATGCCCCATGTCTTTTCAATGGAATTAATTTTTCTGGCATGGGGATTGCATGTGGGCAACAACTAGTTTAACCATATTGGCTTGCTTAAATCTCTAGATTTTCATATAAAATTCTCTTGTGTTAGGGGTGCGCAGCATTTGATATAAAACAAAAAATTAATCCAAACCAAATTGAAGTATCTATTCCGATTTGGATTTTAACTAAAAAAACAAACATAAATAATTTTAGTTTTTTATTCTGATTTTGTTTTTGAAATTTTGTGTTTAGTTTTCATCAAAAACCATTTTTTTAGTATTGTTATTGTTAGTTTATATTTTGATTTTTTTAATTAAAATTTGAACTTTAATAGTTTGATTTACAACATGTTTGAAGAATCAATGCTTTTTTTTTTTTTATCATTATATAGTTTAGATTTTTGATACCTTATCATGTGGAATGGTTTTGTGTTTTAGTTTTATTTAAATAAAAATTTATTATTTTTCATATAGGCTAATTTAGAGCATTTGGGTTAGAGAGAGGACAACATAGTCCATAACAAAATTTCTTTTGGCCTATTTACATTATTTAAAAAAGCAATTTAAAAACAAAGAGTTTTAATCGAAATACCGAACCCAAAAAATGAACAGAAATCCGATTTGGATTTATTCTTTTTATTATTATTATTATTAGCTAAAGATCAAGTTGAAATGTTAAATACCGAACCGAAAATCCAAATGATCACCCTTAGTAGATGTTGCTTACATGCAATCCTTATGTCAAAGAAACCAGTTCCGTTGAAAAGCCTTGAGGCATGATATTATAATAAAAAATACATAACAAATATAAGGTAATGTTAGGGATATTTTTTTTTATTAAGTTTTGATTACTAAATGATGTGACAATATTTATTACAAAGTATATACGTAGCAAGTAAATCACTTGTCTAACAAACTCCGTACTTCCCACATTAGTTAGTAAGGCGAATGATCATACAAAATTACAAATGTAGCAAGTAAATCACTTTCTTTCTTTCTTTTTTTTTTTAACAAAATCTCGATTGAATTCTTGGCTTGTATGGAGTTATAGTTGTTGTGATGTGGCTGCTAATATATATTGCGTTGTGTTGTTTAGTGCTGCACTGTATTATTTACTGTTGAGTTGTGAGAGAAAAACAGTGCTTGGTAACTCATTACTATAGCGTATTTATAAATATTATTAAAACAGCTAAATAATGCTTGATTAAAGTTTATTCTTTGTACTTTTGAGATATAAAATGACCAATAAATTCCATAACATACTAAAATATTTTAACCAATATATTTTATTTATATTAAACGATTCATAATTTCTTAAACTTAATTATTTCCCTCCTTAGGTTTCTGTGTTGTCTTAGTTTCACCAAAAATATTTGATTTGTTTCAAATAGACTCTATCAGTTTCTTTTTTGGTTCAATCAACCCCCACACCCTTTATTTGTATTTCAATCAGCCCCTACATCTTTCACTTTTGTTCTAATTTTCTATCTCAATCCATTTTCAGTAGAAACATGTTTATATCATACAAAAAGTAAAGAAAAAAAAAAATAAAAATAAATAGAAATTTTTTTATTAATATAAATATATGTGATTAAACTTGAGAGGGTTAGTTTTTTAAAAAATCCTAAAATTCTATCTTAAAAAATCCTAAAATTCTATCCCTTTTAATTCTAAATTAGTACCATTATTTTTTTCTTTTTCAATACTATAGTTAAATAAAAATCAAGATTTAAATTAATTTAACTTTTTTAAATTTTTTTGCTCATCAAAATCTTCATTATTCTGATCTCTCTCAACCATCATTTCTCTTTCTTTAAATATGACATTTGATACGAACAACTACTCAAGCTATCGTTTCATTCCTATAATTTCATTTTTTTTTCAAATTCTTGTTAAATATTTTAATAGAAATTTTGATTAAAAAAAAAGTGTAAATATGGTATGCTAGTGAGATATAGTGAGATATTGAATGAGAAACATTGATAGTGGTATTTGATATTTTTATTAAAAAGTGTTTTATCACACTTGTTTTTATTTTATTTTAATTTTTTATTGTCAAAGGACTTTTAGATAGTGTTGATGAAATTAAAATTTACATAAATTGAAATAAAAATAAAATATACAGAGTCTAAGTCAAACAACTCAAAGATGTTATATGAAACTAAGAAAGCACATAAATCTCAAGAGAGCAATTTGAAATTTACCCTTAGAACAAAAATATCACTCAATAATAGTTGTGTATTATTATTATTATTATGTTAAAAATAAGGGTATATTTTTCTTTTAAAGTAACATCTATTTTGCTTTCAAAACAAAGTATGTATTAGCTAAATACTGTTCTTAGACCAAAAATAATTTAAAAAATAATTGTTCTTTAAAAATACAACAATACTAGCAAAACACTATCTCACACTACTCCAAAAAGGGCCTTGCAGGCGGGTTTCTTCTCTTCAGAGGTGGTGTGGTTATAACCACCTCTACAAACTCTAAGGGCAGTTTTTTGAATCGTCTCAAAATCGTTTGCAATATCACCATCACTTCATTGTAGAGGTGGTTGAAAAACCACCAAGGAATTGTGAGGTGGTTCTTTTTAGGCAGCTAGAATCGCCTCAAATTAATTTTTTAAGGTAGGTACAACTACTACTACAATGCCAATTGTGTTTTTTATAATTTTTTGATGCGTAATTTGTGCGAGTGGTTGATAACCGCCTCTATGTTCCCAAGTTTTTTTTTTTAAATTTGACGTGAAATGTTTGTGGTAGTTATAACCATCTCATATTTTAGAATCTATAAAAAGGGTTACAACCACATCAAATTTTAGAATTTATAGAGGCGAGTTGCAACCACCTCAAATTTTAGAATTTATAGAGTCGGATTTTAACATCAAATTCAATTGTTTACTCCTCTTTATTTTTTTGGTTGAAAAATAAATAAATTAAAATAAAGTTACATCTTGTTGAATGCAAATACAAGAAAAATTATATAGCTAGCACAATATTCTTAAATTTGCAATTATCAAATTCTACATACATAAAAATTCTTCAAATATCGATAAGAAAAAAAATAATTAAATGCTTGTTCAAAATACATAAAAAAAAGTTCCCAATATGTGTATCCCACAAAATATAATATGAAAATACAAATTCTCAACTAGAAAGTTACAATTCACTAATGAGTAAAGTTTGTAGTCATTTACCGAAATCAACGGATAACAAACTAAAAATCTACTTCATTGCTTATAGTCACCAAACTCCAAAACACAATATCAAACACTAAATGGACTAAAGGGCAATCTTATAGCTAGAATTAACCAAATTATCTAGGTCGGAAACCACTTGAATGGATTCTATGACATCACCAACCTTGAGATGTGCTAAACAATCCTCATCTTCTATAACATAACTAAAGATAGCATACCGACCATCCAATATATTTGCATTGTTGGGAATTAGCTCACTTTCTTTTAATAGCCAAAATGCATGGCTTGAAGCTGAGTTGTTCTCAAACTCTTGTCATAAATAAAATTAAAAATTAAAAATAAGGTAACTTTAGGTTAACCCTTTAGAATATTAGAATTACCAAACATAGCACACACATGAGAGAGAGTTAAAAAACTATTAGAGGTGTTGACTACTACTAGTTCTACTTGTCAAGCTAAATTGGATCAAAAGATTGCATAAACTCTTGAAATAGTCTTCACAATAAAGACCAAGTTCGTCATATGATAGTTTTGCCTATAAGTCAAGCATAAGTAGCAAAAACAATAAGTATAAGTAAGTGCCTTTGTTTTGAGAATCTAATTAATCAAATGGAACAAGCATTATTATATATGAAGTACATTAAAGATAGAAGCAAAGCTAGAAATACAAGAGAAATGCAAAATTACAAGTGTAGTCTAATCTAACGTCAAGTTTGATAAGAAGAAAGCTGTGTAGAATGAATAAAAGCAAACATATGACACTCAATCCCATCATGTATCTAGCAAAATTAAGTGCTTACCTCAAAAGATAAAAGACCTATGACACCAAGCATAAGATAGCCGGTAAAAAGCCACTATCAAAGGTTGTTAGTCCATAATTATGACCTATAATGAGAGAGAATATATAAATGAACTTATGAAGATGAGTTAATATAATCATCAGTGAAGACTTTGGATTGCTCTACCAATGAAAGTCGTCACGCTACACTAAATGAGCACTATAATAGGCGAGTTAAGTTTGCATGAAAGATACTACTCAACAACCATACTTCCCTAAAACATACTTATGATTCTCTATACAATAGATATAATTCTCTAGGTATTATACTTAATCAAAAAATAAGAAATATGCATTCAAAGATATTTGCCGAAACATAGCTCACTCACCTACAAATGGACCCCTAAATAGGATTGGTCCCGAACTAGGCTAGTAATTTCTTTGATTGCATATTTCATATTTCTAATAATTGACGACATTAAGGAAAAGATATCTAAAAAACACACCATTTAAATAAAAATTACCAAAAATGAATTATAAGCTATTAAGTTTTGAATTTTTTTATAAAACTTGAGCAATACTTCCATATGTAGAATATGTGATATTAGAGACCAACTATGCATCAAAGTTTCAGTATCTACTCCACCTTATTAAAAACAATATCCGCAAGAAGACATGTTCTTAATGATGAAATTCTATATATTACCATTACTGAGCCTTCAATAGTTATGAAAGTGATTCGGAACATGCATCACTATTGTCAATAACATGATGACAATTTGGGCAAGTTTTACAAGGATCTCTCTTCCATTCAACTCTTTCAAGATGACTTGTGCTAGATGCACTCTTGATTTTTGTAGCAAATTTATTACCATCCACCAACCATGGCCAAAATAAATTAAAGAAAAAGAATCAAAACAAAGAGCTGCAGACAAAATGTTGGCATGAATAATTAATGAAAAGATGCACTATAATAAGTTATAACTAGATAATATACCAACTAATTTTTGCTACAAATATAGTTAGTTTACAAGCACTAAAACATCACAAAAGTAGACAATTGAAAAGTAAAAATAGAGTTGGAATCTCAATAATAAATTTAGACACTCAAATATATATGGTAGTTAGGCCCATTATCCTATGCGATCAAATGATATAGAACATGTACTTGAAATATGTCATGGTGAATCAAAACCATAATTTAACATGAGCGGAACAAACGGATAGGTGAACAATGGTTCCATCATCAACACATTAACATTCCTCATGCAACTTGGCGCATTGACATTTTAGTTCAATAGCGGTGCGGTAGAGGCAATTCGAAACATACTATACATTAATTGACAAAGGTTTTCTTTTGTATCAAATGGCTCGCCTTCAAGCTAATTCGACATAAAATATGCGAGGGGCAAGTTTGAAAAACAAAAGGTAGTCTCTAAAAATATACAAGAACCGGACCCTCTTGCATTGCTTGACTCCAAGACACATAAACCAACATCAAGAAACTAATTGATGGATAATATAGAAAATGGCCAACCTAATATATTAAATGACATAAAAGGTAGTGTATAAGAAAAATCAAATTGCACAAAGTCGCATAGCATATTACCGGAATGATTCCGCCCCTACAATCTTATTTTCTTTGTAGTGCTTGTATGAATTGTATTATTGTTTTTATATAAAACAAATAATACTCTATAAATGTTTGATATATATGGCCAACTTAGCGATCCATGCTTGAAGCTAAACAAAAAAAGCATTAAAATGATCTCAATCACATCTGATTAAAAAATGATCTAGAAAATTTGCTTAACCAATAACGGAACAAACACATATCTTTTTTATATTATAAAATAACAAACATGAAGAAACCATCCCATAATCATAGAGACTTAGACAAAGAGATATTTAGCTCAAAATGCTTCCATCAAACAATACCTTCACCTCCCTCTCCAAATTCTAGCCTAATCCTTTAGTTTATTTTTGAAATTCAATGCCAAATTATACGAGTAAAACAAAAATTCAATGGTTCACCTAAAAAATAGGAGTAGCAGAACTAGATGCACACCAAAATTTCATTCATAAGCTCCCAAGAAAAAATTATTGGTTTCCGAGTACGTAACTCTACTAAATGAGTTCTCCCTAGAATATCTAACTACCTAGAAAATGTATAATAGAAATTTGCGAGTCAAGATATTACAATAATACGAAAGAGAAGCATACATAGACAAGCCTCCCAATCTTCAATGTAAATTCTTGTGAAACCTCATTATTCTTACTAATATTGTAGTAATTTAGCCTACATTGATCTACCAAATTATGTACAATCAAATTTCATATGGTAAGTTATACCATATTAGCTTAAATTGAATAATTAACTTTAAACAAATAGAGTTATCACAACATTCAGTCATATTCAACACTCTTGTTCATTTCACAATCATATAATGCTTGTAAGTCAAAATCTTCCAACCATCAATTGTCGATTTCTTATGTTGTCCAATTGATGGAAAAAATATCATCACACCTTAATATAAGCATTCTAGTAATCTTTGATACCCGAGTTTTAAAAGAATGAGTCATCCGATGAAGATACATTAATTTCGACTACTTTTACCCACTTTTACATGCTAATTTTTTCCACCAACTCGTAATTAGATTATTCCCTAGATGGGGAATTAACCTTATATGATTCTTGCTTGCTTCAACTATCACATAGTCTAATCCTTGTAGACAAATACCTCCATTAAACACAAATAGGAATGAAAACTACTTCAAGATTCTTCCTTTTCAATTCATTTGAAAAGCCCATCGACCTTTAATAAGGCCTTTCATTAGTCTAACCTCCCCTTCAAGATTTGATAGTCAATTGAAAGAAAAATTCTCTAATTTTACAACCTAAAATGTCAAATGTAACTTTCTTTTTTTTCACATGAGAAAAAAAAAGTTTCGAACTTACCCTATAGACCCTCTCATTGAAGACACCTAGAAAGATATGCAAAGCATCAAGACCATGACCATCATTGAAAGCCCAATTACCGCAAACAATCAACCCCATTTGAGCTCCTTTATTAAGCATCTCGAAGCCTTTGATCTTAATGAATTCCATGCACTCTACATCATCGAAAATGATACAAAGGGACGAAGGGCAACTTCAACGTTAGGATGCTTCCACTCCACTACTGATTCCCACCATTCATGCACCAATTCTATCTAAAATAGTGATACAAAGCAATCTTCAATAAGTGTGTTTGAGAATAATTCAAAATTAAGGGTAGAGAGGGAGATAGAGTGGGAGTGGGTACGAGAAAAAGGAGAGGAGAGGAAGAAAAAACCTAGAAGTTAGGGGACATGCGAGATGATGAAGAGTTGGCTTTTCTTTTCACTTCTCAAAAAAGGTAATTAAAAAAAAAAAAAAAAACAACAACAACAACTTAAAAGTTGGGGTGGTTTTCTCAACCACCCCATGTTTTTTTTTAATGTAAACTAGGTAAGTTATATACTAACAACAACAACTACCTCTATAGCCTTTTTTTTTTTTTTTTAAAGTGTCATGTTCATGTTCATTAAATAAAAAAAATTTCATGTTCATGTTCATTAAATCAAAAATTTTATTTTACATAAGGAATAGAAATAAATGCAAAAGAGAGAGAGAAATAGAAGAGAGATTTTTTTTTAAAAAAAAAAAAGAAGCTTAAATGAGAATATTCTTATCATTTTTTGTAGACTATTTATTTATTTTCTCACATAGGCAAATGAAGTAAATATTGTTAGTTTACCTTGAGTATTTTTAAATTTCTTATTAAATCTATATCACTATATTCAAATTGAATAGTCATCTGATTTAGTATATAAGAAAAATGGAAACAACCAAAGTCCTTGCTATTGTGTTTTTATCACCTAATCCAAATCATTGAATTTGAAATGAATGACGACATTTAGAACATATCCACTCATGTAATCCAAATCCTTAAAATTCATTACTTGCCATATATAGAGTTTTACCATAGAGAAATTAAAAGGAGTTTTCATTTATGAGCAATACCATCACACACTATCTCTATATAACCAGAATCTGTACACCGTGCAGACAGGGAAAAAAAATCTTAAAAGACATGACTGATGAAATTTAGTTGAAAAGCCCCATGCAATTTGTATTCCTTGTCCAGGTCAAAGCCATATAAAGTCAATGCTTAAACTAGCAAAACTACTACATTACAAAGGTTTTCACATTACTTTTGTCAATACAGAGATGAACCATACTCTCTTATTTGAATCTAGAAGTACTGATTCCTTGAATGGGTTGCCCAAATTTCGGTTCGAATCGATTCCGAACAGCATCCCTTCAGATGGTGATGCCGTCCAAGACATATCTGCATTTTGTGAGGCTGCCAAGAAGAACTTCTTAGCTCCACTTAACGACCTGCTTGCCAAGCTCAACGATACAACATCTTCTAATGTGCCTCCAGTCTCTTGCATTATCTCTGATCGTTTCATGCCAGTCGCTATCCCTATTTCGGAAATGCATGGAATCCCTGTCGCATTGTTCTTTACTATCTCTGCTTGCAGCTTCATGGGGATGAAACAATTTATAACCCTCAAAGAAAAACGTCTTGCACCACCGGAAGGTATGAACAAGGAAAAAACTAAAGTTTTATTTTATTGTAATTTTCTTCTTTTAGTCCATTTTAGCAGTAAATTAATAAATTATTACTTGAACTACTTTTGGAGTATATTAAATGGGAATAGTTAACAGGTGCTCTTAAGACAATTGTTTGGAGTGTTCCAAGCTAATCTTTACTTTTATTTTTTTGTCATAGCTTATTATGAAATTTTAAAAATATTAATTACCATATAAAACATCATTTATTTAATGTCCATAATTAATATCATTTTATTTTAAATGTTTTATATTTAAGCTTTTTCACACAATCCAACAACAAATAAGTACAAAAAATACAACCAATAATTAATTTGTTGGCTTAATAGTAACAAGTTAGTCTTTATGCGAATTTTTAGCCAATGTGTATAGTTCAAATCTTAAAATCATATTTA